AAGCAGACTCCCTGCTGAGCAGGGAGCCCGATGTGGGACTCGATCCCGGGACTCCAGGATCATGACCTGAGCCGAAGGCAGTTGCCCAACCAACTAAGCCACCCAGGCGCCCTCAGCTCTTCAAATTTCTAACAGTCCATAAGTCACCGCCGATAAAGGAAGGACACAAACCCATCAGGAGACAAGCACCCACCACTGCTGCCTAGACAGGAGGCCCTGCTCTAATCACTGGGTCGGGCCTCAGTCTCAGTTTGGGCATTATGGGGTTACCCAGCACGTCTTGTATGAGGATTGAAGGAAAAAAATAAACATAGTAGTGATGAGGGAGCAGAAGGCTAGCTGAAGACAAAGCATAAGCTGACCTTGCAACCTTCCCCCACCCCCTACTTCTGGGTGGGACATGTGACAGTCTTCCAGGAATCTCCCTAATATATTAATGTTAACACTTTGCTAGAGGGGAAAACAACCTTAACAATGGCAGGCCTCTGGTATCTTGTAGGTGGGGCGTCTTTAGCATATGAATGTTCTTCTGAAACCTCCCTTTTCCTTAACTTTGAAACCTCCCTTTTCCTTAACTTCCCCCAACTCCCAAGTATATAATCACCACTCCTCAAGACCCCAGGGCAGGAGCTCTTTTTACCCACGGGTCCTGTCTCCGTGCTTTAATAAAACCCATTTTGCACCAAAGACGTCTCAAGAACTCTTTCTAGGTCTTCAGCTCCAGACCTCACCCCACTAAACCTCACCTATATTCCAAAACATCAGCAGCACTGTGAAGATATGCAAATAAAAGTATTAGCATTTTATATTCTTATGCTAATTTTGTATACATCACTCTCCCGGAGAGGAAGCTAGCAGCCCAGTGTCCACCTCAATTCTGCGGGTGAATTCTGACCAGCCCCTCCCACCCCCAAACACTCGCTCAGCCTGCGGAAGACCCCCTGAAGACCAGGCTGTGCAGAGTTCATTTGCACTGCTTGGAGGCACACCCGGCCAAGGCCAAGCAACTGGAGGGGAGAGGGGCGAGGGGGCACCTCACAAGCCCGGGGGTTGGGGGTTACCAACTGCAATCCTGCAGCAGTCATGACCCTTTGGCCTAAGCAGTAACTCAGGGGGCAGGGGAGCAGCTAAGGCCATCCCCCGATGTCACCCTGCGTACCCTAGAACAAGCAGGCCAGCAATCAAGATAAATCCAGTGCCCAGCAAGTGGTAACAGGACAACAGAATACAGAGAGAATGGTGCCCAGGGACTCCCAGGTAGAGAAGGGATTGGTTTTTTTTGGAAATGTTGGTGAAGTTGGTGGGGTCTGGAGCCAATGGCTGAGACGTCTCCCGTGCAAAATGTTGGTTTATTAAAGCATGGCAACAGGACCCCCGGGCAGAAAAAGCTGTTGCACCAGGGCTGTGAGGCGTGGCTGATTATGTACCTGGGAGTTGGGGGCAGTAAGGAAAAGGGAGATTTCAAAAGGATTTTCATATGCTAAAGAGGACCTCCAAGATACTGGAGGCCTTGCCATTGTCAAGTTAAGGTTGTTGTTCCCTCTAGTAAAGCATTAATACTAAGACAGCTGTGACTTTCCTGCTGGAATTTAGGTTATTGATAACCATGTTTTTATTGATAAGAATGCTTTTTTCTTGTAAATCACAAAAACATTTTGTAAACTGAGGGAGACTCTTGTCTTTAGATCTCTATTAGTTAACCATTTGTTTTTCCTTCCCTTAGCTTTAGGGCAGCAGGAGTGCCTGAGGAATGTCACACAGAGCCCACCTGGGGGTGGGAATGGGGGTTGTGGGGGTGTCAGCTTGTGCTTTGTCCTGACTTTGCCTTCTGCTCCCTCATCAGAAGGAAGGTTTGATTTCTCAGCCCTGAAGCACCTTTCCCACTTTTTCCCCCTTTGAGTGTGTGTATAGAGGGTAGACAACACATGCATTCTTTTCAGGAGAGAAAACTGAAAAGATATGAAAGGGTCATGGAATGAAAAGTAAGTTTCCTTTCTACCCCTAACCTCCTGCCCCCTTCCCAGAAGCAATCATTTTTACCAATTTCCGTAAATTCTTCCAAAGATATTCTTATACACACCCACCACACACGTAAACTCAAACACATATATTCTCATCTTTGATAATACGAATGTTGGCATGCCACATTGTTCTGCACCTCTATTTTTGTATCACTTAATGATCATCCTGGAGATTGTTCTCCATCAGTGCTAAGGGACCTGCCTCACCCTCTGAATGGATATAGGACAACAGACTTAGCCAGTCCCCTACTGGTGGCTTCTAGATTGCTCCAGTCTTTTTTATCAGATCAGGGCTGTAGTGAGTATCCTGGCACACATGTCATCATACACATATGCAACTCTACCCAGAGCCCAAAAGTCTAGAGGTGGTGTCCCTTCCCATGGTGACAGATTGGGTGTCCCCACAATCCACGGACGCTCTGATGTTCACCGGCCTGCTTTTCACCACAGCTCCACCCAGAGCACGTCACCAAACTTTCTGAACTTTATCACTAACAGGTGGAAAATAATGTCTCACTGAAGTTTACATCTGCACTACTCTTATAAGTGAGGCTGAACAGCTTTTTGCATGTTAAAACCCTGCACTTCCTTTTTTGTAGTTCACATCCTCTACCCACTTCCTATTAAACTAGAAAAGATTTTGAGGCCATGGAAAATGAGGCTGTAGACAGACTGCAGTCCTCCATTCCAAGCTGAGCTGAGGCCCCTGGGATTACAAAGGGGCAAGGGGTGGGGGCTCTGAGTGTGGCTGTGCTAGGACTTGGGGGAGCCAGCACACCAAAGCTTCCCTGTGGCCCCGTGTCTGCTGGCGCCACACATGAACTTGGCCGAGACGTCTGTTTTCTATTTAACGATAGGTAGCCCTGCCTTTTGTTTTTGTTTTTTTGTAACTCTTCTCTAACGGGCACCTGGATGACTCAGTCAGTTGAGCAGCGGACTCTTGGTTTCAGCTCAGGTCATGCTTTCAGGGCCATAGGGACTGCCTGTGTCAGGCTCCACACTCAGCGGGAAGCCTGCTTCTCTCTCTCCCTCTGCCTGCCGCTCCCCCTACTTGTGCTCTCTCTCACTGAGTCATATAAATAAATAAAATCTTAAAAAAAAAATCCTGACCTAGTCCTTCTGTCTCTAAATTCCTGTGAATCTAAGGTTCAACATGCTACTTTCCCACAACGAAAAGTGGACAAGTTTCCTAATTTACATGAAAACATGCTCAACTCCTGCCTCTTACCTGGAGCTCCTCTGGGTCTGAGTGTGCCCAGAAGGGGGCCATGGTGCACTTGATCTTCCCCTCAGGGTCCATTTCAATGTCCCACCAGGAGAGAACCACCTGAGCTCGGCCAGATGCCAGAGGTTCAAACTGCCGGCTGTGGCAGGCTGCTGAGCTACTGACTTGCTTGCTAAAGTCCACACTGTGGAAGAATACGCAGGAACTTAAGCATATTTTAAGCTCACATACTCCATTTTTAAGCTTTTACGGTGACATCACCAGCAATGAGACTTGTCTGCAATGGACTCCCGCCTTCAGAAGCAGGTGACATCAGCTAGATTTCCTTCTGACTCATAAAGAACTTCTAAAGACCCCAATTCCACCAAATATCTCAAAGCACCGTTGGCTGGGGCGCCTCCTTGGTACCTGAACATAGGCATCACATCACTGAGGGCACTGAAGTCAGTGGGCGACACCTGGTTCAGCTGAATGTCATAGACAGAGGGGGCACCAGGGCACCTCTCCAGTTCCAAGGGGGGGACGATGACCTGCTCTCCACGGCTGGTCTGAACACGGACAGGAAAGAGCTTATTCCACGACCACATCCTCCGGGACTCCACCAGCTGTGCATAGATGGTTGCTCTGTGAGGTACCGCTTCACAGTTTTCCTAAGTTCATGTCACAAAAACAAAAAAGGGAAAAACAAACTGGTATATGTATTATAAAATATACCCACAGTAATTCTCATTGATCAAAAGAGGCTTGTTCCTTAATATCAGCTCGGTTGAGTAGCATCTACCGCCTTAACCACTAAAGGACGGTGAACTGTTTTTGGCCTAATGTCCTTGGGGAAGAAAAAAAAAGGAACCAGATTTCAAAAAGAACACACGTTATGCCTAGAACAATTTATGTCAGGTGAGTTCCCAACTACATGACACTCTTAAATACTTCAAAAATAACCCTTAATTGTCATCATGCTGATTAACTCCCACACCAACTTTGAAGAAAGAGTCCAAGTCTGCTAAGCAGCAATGATGGCACGGGGTTCCAAGCTTCTCTTTAGCGCAGGTCTCACCCAGACACCAGAACCTTTTTATTGCATAGCCCAATGGATAAGTGTCCACCCTCAGATGATCTGGCCTCCTGGCCTCACCGGGCACTGCCCACCACTCCCCTCGTTTGGTTTTGGCTGCAGTCCCTCATCCGGTTTCCCTCCTACCTCATTCTTTCACCCGACAGCCTCTACGCAACAGACACCAGGAGCCCAGGCAAGAAGAGGACGCTCCCAGCTAGTACTGCAGGGAAATGACAGGCACGGGGTCCTGTCTCAGGACTAGAAACCTCTTGGGTCAGATGATCCTTTGCTGTAGGGGCTGTTTCGTACATCATACGATGTTCACTAACATCCTCGATCTCTATCCACAAGATGCCAAGAGTGTCCCCCTCTCAGTTGTGACACCAAAAATGTCTCCAGGCATGGCTCTGGATAAGAAACACTGTTCTCCTCCTCTGGCTGCTTCACAAGGCTGTGCTTCCCCTACCCATCCTTCACAGAGACAACTCCCCAGAGACGTGGTCTGGCCCATCTCTCTCCCTCCACACAATCTCCCCTGAGGGACATCCGTCAGTCAGTCCATCTTCATTTACCAAATACCACATAGCCAAAAGCCTCTTGGTCCTCTCTATTTGTCTGACCTTCAGATAGCTCAAACTCTGTCTAAACCAAACAAATCACCTTCACCTCTTCCCCTCCTTCCCAAGCCTGGTCCTTCTCCCATCTTCCCATTCAATAGGGAACACCACCATCCAATCCAGTCTCCCAAGCCCCAAACCCTGGCACTGCCTCAATGCCTCCACATCTAAGTAATTACCAAGTCCTTGACCACCTTCCTCCTCCCCAAGGCTACCTGTTCAGGCCCATTTCTCTGGTCTCAGCTGAGGCCCACCTCAGCCCCAGAGCCTGGATGACTCCAACACCTTCTAACCAGTCTTCCTGCCCCTGATCTTGCACCCCAAATGCTCTCCATGTGCCTGCCTGCATGAATCCAATGCCAATCCCCTGCTTTAAACCCTCCTGTGGCACCACACTGCCTTCTGGAGCACAGTGGCCCATCTCAGTCTAGTCCTGCCCAGCCCCCCAGCCTTAGCTCTAACCCCACCTCCCCCACTACCCATAATGCCAACAACTCACACCGCACCACCTCACCTTCCCCTGACCTCCTCTCCTGAGAACGCCCCCGTATGGCAGACCAACACTTGATTACTATTCAAGACTGACTCCGCTCAAGCTTCATCTTCCTTGATGCTCCCCATCTTCCCCTACCACAGCGGGCAGGATCTCATCCCACTGACCACCATTTGAGCATACCCTCCAACTGTACTGTGATAACCTGCTCACCTACCTGCCTGCCCAGGAGCGCACCTTCATTTTCCTGGCAGTCAAAAAATGGCCTGGCAAAATGAAGGCGCTCAATAAATTTACCTTCTCAGATCAATCACTGGGTCACTCACCACCACATGGACTATCTGTCCGACATTCCAGCATCCTGGTTGCATGACCCTCAGGAAGGCAGGAAAAGGGATCGGCAATGGAAGCCTTTGTGTAAAGCCATAACTCTTTCAAGCTCAGACACAAGGTGGGCAGATGGGGACAGTGATTAGAACAGACAACAGACACCTGGCTACACAGACCAGCTGAGAAAGGAAACTGCGGCCAGCTGCCTGCACACCTTCTTAATTATTAGATGAATTAGAGAAAGACCAATTGGACAACACTAATGTAATTTTAAACATCCTTGTGTTCTCCGTTTCAGGGATTCATCTAGTTGATGGTTTTAATGTGGAAAAATAGAAATAATTACTATCAAAGTTACTAAAAAAAGATCTGACATTTTGGAGACAAGGAGATGTCTCACACAATGTGATCACCATCACATGCTGATCGTGTGAGTAACGTGGCCTGTGGCCCCAACTGCCCTGGAAGGAGCCACATTCACTCTGGCCACACCAAACCCACCCCCCTCCGCCACAGGGTCCCAGACTGGGACAGTTGCAGGCTCGCCTAGATGGTGCCCACAGGACATGTGGCAGCAAAAGAAGCAGACACTCACACCTCCCCAGCTGGCCTTTGCCTCTGGGGATATTTATGTCCATAAAAAAGCAAGATGAACGACTCCGAGATAACACTGTCAGCATGCCCCTCCCTTCTGGAAAAAACTGCCAAAGATTATCACTACCCAAATTCTTTCGCCTAGAATGATGAGAGGGCTTGGCATTCAAGGCCTTCCACCCCTCACCCTGACTTTCCACCATTAGCTCACAAGCCCGCCTAGGGGGTGTTCCCACTGACGAACTGCACAGGTCCCCTACCTGGGACACCTCCCCCTCTCCTCAGGGCCTTTCCACATTCCACCTTCTCTACATATGTCCTCATCTCCTGATCCCGGCCCTCAACTGCCAGTCTGAAAACAAATGTTACTGGTGTTTCTGTCAGCCTCTCCATTTGGCCATCCAGTCCGTACCATCACTGACCAGTGTGGGTCTTAGAAACAGGAAGGAGGTCTTATATTTCTCCCAGGATGCTAGAACACCTTATACACAGGTGACATTTAAAGAATCTTTGCTGAGGGTGCCTGGGTGGCTCAGTTGGTTAAGCGACTGCCTTCGGCTCAGGTCATGATCCTGGAGTCCCAGGATCGAGTCCCGCATCGGGCTCCCTGCTC